CATTTATTTGATCAAAAATACAGTAAAACAGCAATATTGTGAAATTATTAGTTCAAACATTTGCTCAAACATTTTTGATCATTTTAACACATCCTTGTTGAAAATAAATTTTAATTTCTTAACTACCTGACCCCAAAATCTAGAACGAGAGTGTTGCTCAAATTAAGATAGCTTAAGCTTACTTGTGATGTTTTCCATTTTTAGGCCAAACAGCATGACTGGACTCAGGGACGTTGGCCTAAGAAAAGTGCCGAGTTCCTGCTCCACATGCTGAAGAACGCAGAAAGCAATGCTGAGCTCAAGGTAAGACTGTATGAGCCGTTACACTATGAATAATTATTTGTTAGAATTAGACAGCACTGTTGCCTCGGTGTATGATTTAAAACTAGCTTGCGTGAATGCAGCTTTCACTACCGTACGGGCTTTATATCATCCCACATTGTGATCTTGTAGGGTTTGGATGTGGACTCTCTGGTGATTGAGCACATCCAGGTGAACAAGGCTCCAAAGATGCGCAGGCGTACTTACCGTGCGCACGGACGCATCAACCCCTACATGAGCTCCCCATGCCACATCGAAATGATCCTCACTGAGAAGGAGCAGATTGTTCCCAAACCAGAGGAAGAGGTTTCTCAGAAGAAAAAGGTATGGACATTAATGTTCTCCTAAAGAGGGAAAAAAAAAACCCTACAAACTGTACACTTGGCTGTAGTGATGACATCTTAGGACACCTTTGGATTAATGATGAAAAGAATTGTTTTCTGAGCAGCCGTTGTGCATTAAATGTGTGAAGGACTTGATTTCTTAGTAGCTGTTGTTGGTGAGTGCTCTAACCAAATATATATGTTTTTGTCTTCACAGGTTTCTCAGAAGAAACTGAAGAAGCAGAAACTTATGGCTCGGGAGTAAATGTAAATAAAGTCCAACATTCGTACTACAGAATGACTCTGCTCCTTTTTTTGTGATTTATTTATTGACTTTGGGTATATTGCCTGAAAGATAAGTAAGCTTGTGCTAAAAACCAGTCATTTTAAAAGAAAATTTGATAGAACAGAAATGTCAAAAAGAAATCTATTTACTAGTGGGTCTAATAAGCAGTGCAAAAAGTGGTTGCTTTATTTGGTTTAAAACAGATTCTTTACAGTCTGTGAACCTCTTTATCATTGAGAACTTTAGAGTGCTCTGAC